CTGCTGTCCTTATTCAACTGTCCCTTCCTCCCGGACACCTTCCGCATGACTGCGCAGGCGGGACCATCCCTTCCTGCTTCTAGTGCAGTTGTGAGAAGCACTCCCTGCCCCATCTTGGCAGGAAGGTGTCTTCAGCTTGTCCAGGCCAGAACTCGGTCAATTTCCTCACAGGTATCAGCCAGCCAACTCCCCACTAAGGAGGGTGGACGGTAAGAAGGGCACCAAAGAATGCAGGGAGATGGAGGACCTAGAATTTGAAATTCAACCTCATTTAAAATCTATAGCCAGGTGCAGTGGCTCATGCCTGTAATCCCCAACACTTTGGAAGGCTGAGGTGGGCAGATCACTTGAGGTCAGGAGTTCAAGACCAGGCTGGGCAACATGGTGAAACCCCATCTCTACTAAAAATACAAAATTAGCCAGGTGTCGTGGCACGTGCCTGTAATCCCAGCTACTCGGGAGGCTGAGGCATGAGAATCACTTGAACCTGAGAGGTGGGGGTTGCAGTGAGCCAAGATCACGCCACTGCACTCCAGCCTGGACGACAGAGCGAGACCCTGTCTCAAAACAAACAAAAATCTATAATCACCAGGCCTTCAGATTTGAATGTTTCTTCCCCTAGTCCTTTGGCAATAAATATCTAAGTAGCAGACAGCTCAAAAAGCAAGAAAAGGGCCCAGAAAGCCCCAAGCCTCAGCTAATTCCTCTCTGGACATGCAGGAATTGGCAGCTGGGAACCCCACTCTCTGGGAGTCACTCATAAGCCATAGCGGGGTCTTTGATCCCTAAGCACAGAGCCAGCAGGCGTTTAATTTTCCTCCGCAATGCACCCGATTTCTCTGTTCCATTACTACACATCTGTGTGCCTGTTATTCCCAGCTGTGGGGAACTAGATGAGCACAACAGTGCTGACCTCAAGGAACTCAATCTAGTGAGCCCAACAGCTTATCAAACACCTCAGATCAAAATGTGCAATTATCACAGCGTTAGGAAGGGCGTGGGGCGACAAGTGCCCTTGTTCACGCAGACAGAAGGAGAAACTGATACAACTGCTCTGGAAGGCCAGTGAGCGGTACATATCAAAAGGAAAAATGAACCAGATTTTTTCATCCAGCGATTCTATTTATCCTACAACTACACTGGCACATACGTGAAGCCACACGTGATTTCCATTCTGCTGTTTTACAAAGGATACTTCAGTTGCCTGTCAATTGACGATGGTTTCCATAAATAATTGCCACCATAAATGGAATACCATGAAGCCAATACAACGGAACGAAGCAGCTTTATTTTTAATTTTTAATTTTTTGAGGCACAGTCTCACTCTGTCACCGAGGCTGCAGTGCAGTGGCGCGATTTCGGCTCACTGCAACCTCCACCTCCTGGGTTCAAGTGATTCTCCTGCCTCAGCCTCTCAAGTGGCTGGGATTACAGGCGCGCACTGTGACCACACCCAGCGATTTGTGTGTGTGTGTGTGTGTGTAGTTTTAGTAGAGATGGGGTTTCACCATGTTGGCCAGGTGGGTCTCAAACTCCTGACCTCAGGTAATCCACCTGCCTTGGCCTCCCAAAATGTTGGGACTACAGGCGTGAACCACCGCGCCCGGCCCAAACTGACTTTAGACATAAGTGCTGATGCAGGAAGGCTGAGAAGACTATCAGTGTGTCAGGTGGGCGAAGCTAGTGTACAGAGTGTGCCATCTATGTGTTTGCACACACGCATGCCTGCAAATGTGTGATCATCCCTTGAGGGATACGCAAGGAACAGGCAGCAATGGCTGCCTATGGAGAGAACTGGGTGGTTAGAGGACAGGGATGAGAAACCCATGTTTCACGTAGGCCTTTTATACCAGGAACATTAGTTACCTATTTTTAAAATAAGAATTTAAAATCACTTCATTACACTTAGCACAAAGAGATTAGCACAGAATGAGACTTAAGTTGTAGAAGCCCCGAGAATCAGTCCCCCTGCAGTAGGCGGGGGAAGGGGTTCGTCAGGACCAGAGATGGATAGGACGCATGACTGGGCCCGGGGCAGGCCCAGCCCCTGAAGTCAGGTTACAGGGCCTTAGGGCGGGATGAAGGGCTGTGCATTTTTTGGGAGACAGATGTAATGCTTTCCGCTTTCCCCACGAGATTAGGTGGGGAGCGGGAGAGAAAAGGCAAGAGGAATGGTGGGGATTAGGGGTAGGTTAGGAGGCCCCGGCACCCCCTCAGGTAGGAGGGAGGACTTGTGCTATCCTTGGCAGTAGCGACGAATCAAAGTGCTGCTAGCTTGGTGACCAGACACACAGCAGTGCCACACACCAGAGGTTGCAGAAATAGGTGCAGACTGTGTAATTTGGAGGCACTGATGGTCATGGGAGTGGAGTGGTCCAGTGGCAGCTGAGCTCTGGGCACAGGGCTTTAGGTGTGAGCGCTGTAGAGTCCGCAGGTGCTGACGGAGCACCCAGGCAGTGGGGAAATGGCAAAGGGAGGGCGAGCTGGCAGAGCTGGCAGGCAAGCGGATGTTTCAAGGCCTGTGACTGTGCTCCTGCTTCTGGGACAACAGGAAAGTGTACTTGGGGAGCTTTCTTGGGGGGTGGGTTCCATTCAGCCCAGAATCAAAGAATTGGCCGGGCGCAGTGGCTCACTCCTGTAATCCCAACACTTTGGGAGGCCAAGGTGGGTGGACCACCTGAGGTCAGGAGTTCGAGACCAGCCTGGCCAACACTGTGGAACCCCATCTCTACTAAAAATACAAAAATTAGCTGGGCATGGTGGTGCACACCTGTAATCCAGCTACTTAGGAGGCTGGGACAGGAGAATCGCTTGAACTCGGGAGGTGGAGGCTGCAGAGCAGAGATCACGCCACTGCACTCCAGCCTGAGCAACAGAGCAAGATTCAATCTCATAAAAAAGAAAAGAAAAAAGACCCCAAAACAAAGAATAAGTCAGGGTCATCCATGAGCTAGTCTGGGTCCAAATGTTGCCCCAAGCACGGCCTCCCATCTGTTGAAAAGGCAAGCAATTTGCCAGGAGCCTCACATACCCGTCAGCGCCAAGAGTCAGTGCCTAGCATGTGCTTGCAGTGTGGGAAGCACGGTGCTTGGAGCGTGGGAAGCACGGTGCTTGGAGGCTGCAGGGAAGGGACTGCTGAGACCCGGCACCTGCCTCCAAGCAGTGTAGCTGCTCCCCGTTTGGCGTGGGCGCCACCATGGCCTTTCCAGCAGTGTCAGCACCAAGTGCTCTCAAGATCTCTCCCTCCCATAAGCTGAAAGGCTGGGACAGGCCCGGCAGGGATCTCACCAGGCCTCTCCAAGCCTTGGGATTCTCACTTTGGTGCTATCTTGGCCTAGATTCCACCCAAAAGCAAGCCTGAGATGAGGCTTTGTGGATAAATGGTTTGCTTTTGAAACCAATCCCAGGCAACAGAAATACGGGGACAGAAAAAGTGAGGCAGGGAAGGAGAATCAGTCCTAGACCATGTCTGAGCTGGTCTCTGCAGGGAGCTGCTGAGGGGGAGCCGCTCTCTGTGGCTGCCTTACCCAGATTACCCAGAGCTGCCCCTGGGGATGGAACTCCCTGCTACTTCCAGGCTGCTATTCCTGAGCTCCCCTAGGTCGCCGACCTCAGGGTGCTGCAGTCACACCTGTCTGAAGCTGGGGCTGTAGGGAGGGCCAAGATCGTGGGAAGCGAGGCACAGAGGCGCCTCATCTACACCTGTATACAGGTGTTTTTCTCCCCCTAGTCCGAGAAAGGGGGACTGAAGCCAGGGCCTCCATGCGTCCCTGATTCGGGACTCACAGCCTGCCTGCTATCCCTTCCTATCCTGTGCCCTTGCATGCACTCAGGTTAGACCAGTCTTTGAGAGGGCCTCTCCCTCAACCTTTCATAGCTCCCTCTTCCCAGCCTCAGCCATCACCCGGGGTTCTTTTAAGTCAATAATGGCCAAGTCCAAATGGCTCCACCTTCAGTGCCCATCCTAGAAGATGTCGAGCAGCATCTTGGCAGGGGGCCACCTTGGCCTCAACCTTCCTCCTCTCTGTCCTTGGCATTCATTTCCTCTTGTTCTAGACCACAAGCCACCTTCACAAATCACAGCAGAGGTCTCAACACTCTTGGCCTCCGCCCCTAGGTGCCACCCTCACCCAAGGAGACTCTCCCCTTTTCACAGGCTCAGCTCCAGGACAGGCACTCTCTAAATTAGACGCAAGGCGGCTGCGACCTCCCTCCCAGACCTGCCTGCAGCTGCGGCTCTACTTGTTGTGGTGCTGACTGTTGTCACCTGGAGGATATGTGCAGTGTCCTCCACTAGACTGTCAACGCTGGGAAGGCTGGACCCGGTCACCCTTCTACAACCCTCCTACACTGTGCAGTCACACACAGGAGCGCCACCTGCCTGGACCTAGAAATTGGATTTCTATAGAAGTTACCTAGTGAGCAGGCTCAGTGACACAATGGATAGTGCACTGGACTTCTAGCCTAAATCTACAGTAGTTATCTAACCAAACCCTACAAACCAGCTAATAAAGGGAAGACCACGAGACCACAGCCACCGCCAGCTTCTTCATGCTCCTCAGGAAACTACCGGCACTGGTGCGCATGCACTCTTGGCTGAACAGACGCCACAGAGGCAGTGATCTTGCCTCTGCACTGCCACCATCCCGCCTCCAGGGATCAGGCCAAAACCCTGGTCAGGCTGAAAAAAGGAAATCCATCCACGGGGGGAAAAGGTCTCTTACTGAACCCTTGCATTTAAGCCCACAACTATCACAAACTTTATGAATTCATGTGCTTCAACTTGATTCCAACTATCAAAGTATCATATATAAAAAAAATGTACGTTCAGGTAGAGCAAAAGGTTAAGAACAAAAGGCATCCCTGGTGGTATTTCCACAGGGTCTGATTTGGAGGAAATTATACATTTGGAAACCCCAAGGCTCACTCAAAAGGAGAGAAAGAACCCCACTTTGTTACAGGGTAGGCTACTGCTTTGATGGAGTATGGGGTGCAGAAAATGCTTTCATTTCATATTTTATTACATCAATGGCTTGAAAATTTTTATTTAACCTCAGCAAATATTGGAAATAGAAAAATGAATTCTGCAGAATTTCACAAATAAATTTTCCAATTTCCACTAACAAATGTTATCATTCAATGGCTAAGCAGTTATAATGCTATGAACATTCACCACAATGAATGTGCTGAAATAGAAAACAGGCAAAGAGACATTAAAATATTACTTACAACAGCATTATCACAACATATTTTCTTTAAAATTCCAACGTGGATTTTATCACTTCAAAAGATATACAGCATTTCCATTATATTTGCAAACTTAACCTTATACATCTTTTAAAATCTTGAAAATTTTTTAAGCTGTCTAAAAAGCACTTAGCAAAGTCGATAAGTCTACATAATGGAATACTATCCACCCCAGTATAAATTTCGTTTTAGGAGAAGGTGGCTGTAAACACTCATCATCACACAACATGCATAGCCTCTGCTGACCTTCCTTCTTCGGAATGCGACGTCACTGCAATTGTGCTTTACTACAGGTAAGAGAAGCTGCAGAGATTCAGGGACTGGCAGAAAGAGCATCACACAGGACCACTAGATTTAGGTGACCTAGCTACCTGGAGTTCATCTGAGGAAAGTTTCACTTGACACTAGAAGCTTGAATCCTGGATCATTCGGTTTAGAAACAGGATAGACGAGAGAGAAAAAGAGGCCCTAGTTGGAGTTGGCTCCATCTTTCCTTAGCTCACATAAAAGCAGGGATCCAGTTAGCATAATGCACTGTTTGGCTTATTTTTGGTGTGCAATTATACCAATAGTACGTCTGATATTTAGAATGACAAAAATAGGGTATAGCTGAAATTTAAAGTGACAATGAGCACACTTAATAGTGGTCTGTGGTATCTGAGGAAACTTTAGATGAACAGAAAACCACCGCTTAATGAGTCCACCACAGTAAACTTTTACAACCCAACTACCTTTTCATTTTTGTTTTGTGTGTTGAATAGAGGTTTGTGAGCATCAAAAGGTCTTACAGGTTAAAAACGATCAAAAACCATTTTGAGGAAGTGGCGTCTCCACAAACACTGTACACCCAGACAACGTGGCACTTGTGTTACACGAGCACCCGGCTGTGTGCCAACACTAATGTAATCAGCACAGCTGGGGCGTGGTTCCTTCCCAGTTAAAAGAGCTATATTACAGAGTGGATCACTGTTGCAGACCAGTCAACACAATATTCAAGTAACAAGGTGTTTAAATGGGTAAGTGAAAAAAATTTTACCTAACACTTTACACATCTACATAAAATTAAATAAAACAAACTTTTAATGCATATGCAATACAATTTATATCTTTTAGGATTTCTAAACTAAAAGTTAAACTATTATTTGCATCAATGATACTATATTTTGCACAATAACTTATACTTAGGAGAAAGTTTTCCACAAAAATATATATAATTATGACATTCACATTGATCATTTTTAAGAAGACAAAGCTTAAGTGAACATTCCATCTGAAGCAGTTATCACACCCCAAACCCTACCTGCCAATGCACCTAATTCTTGATATGTTAAAAAGTCTTCATATAAATAAGATGAAACCACTTTGCTTTTAAAGCTGAGTGATCTCTTACATTTACATCATTGCAAAGACGGTGTAATGAAAACAGTTGAAAACACAGTGCTATCTTACGCGGGAAAGCACAACAAAGGCAGTCAAGGACAGCTCCCATTTTTCCCTCTGTCAAGTCAAAATGACACGCCCCTTCCTCTCTGGGAGAAAGCCCAGTTCAGTTGCTGTGATCACAAGTGATTCTTCAGGGCTGGAGGCCATTCAGTGCCAGGAACCCAGTAAAGGGATAGTGCAGAATACAGATCAAGGCCTGGCACTGCTGGTCGGCTTGCCACGCTATATAAGAATCAGCATCAAGCTTCCAAGCACTGCCAGGAGGGACCAGGCTATTTTCCTTAAGAGAGACACAGACAGACCTATTGGCAGGGTGAGAAACGTACTGCAGCAACTGCCTACTGCTTCTGTTAGCAAGAAGGAGGTCTTGAGGGAAGCAAGGAGAACCTAAAGCTTCAGCTCATACCTTAGTGTCCCCTTTACGCAATGTGCAAACTTAGGCTGACTCCTTCCCATGCTTCTCCCGCCGCCCTCGGTGTACACAGCAGGCTTATGGTGAAAAGAAGCCCCTCCCTCATCACTAGTGTCGTTTTGCTAACCCTGTCTCCACACAGCAGCGGCAATCCGGGACTCCTCTGATGCTTCCCAGGCTTTTACGTGACCAACACACACCTGGCACGGGAACGAGATGATGAAGGGCGGGCAAGTCCCATTGAACTTCCCTTTTGAAGGACCTTTCTCCAGACTATACTAAAAAAAATTTGCAATTCCAAAAAACCTAGGCTTCTAGCTGACCCTCTTTCTAAAGAGATAATCAGCTGATTTCAACAACAACAACAAAAAACAAGGTGCTTGGGAGTCAAAACATATCAAATTTTAATTGCATATTTTAAATTCTTAAGAATTCTGTTTATGCCTTAAAGCATCTGCATTTTTTTGGTATTGAAAGCAGAAAAAAAAATATCCAAACGATGCAAATAACAACAACAAAAGCAACTTCAGCGTATTTAGTGCAGTCTGAATGGCCGTGGGGTGGGAACAGGGTATGTTAGAATGCAGTCTGTCTGCTCCTCAACCCTCAGCAGGCCCAAGGTCTGGTAAGATAACAAAAGTGATTCTGGAAGTCTCAAGATGTTTATTAGAAATTTTTACTTGTTCCCAGTCCAACCAAAAGGCATTACAGACCACTTTGTAGGTTATTTCTTTTCATCTCAGTCTCACTAGACCAATACATTGATCACTTCTCTGTCCTGTACTCTGATAGGAAAAGAGAGTGGATGGTGTTTGTGTAATCACATCAGCACACGAAGGACACAAACTGACATACAGTGTGCCACTTAAAGGGCCAGGCACACCGAGAGAACGTGGAACAACATGCAGCTTTCATAAACCAGCGACAGCTATCCTAATATCCTGACATTTAAAATCTGCACTGTCAGAATCTGCAGCAAGCTCTCCCCTGTTTCCTAATCTCAGTGATGTCATCTTTGGCTAGCAAATAACTTGAAAGAAGAAATAAGACACTAAAAGAGAAAAAGGATTGATACCATGGTTGCCAAAAGGAGAAGGCACCAATTCCAAATGTACAAGCACCAGGTACAGTGATGTGGGCCGAACCTCTTGGAGATGGGGGGTGGGGGTGGGGCAGGAAAAGATGGGGTGGCACCCACCCTGGGGTCACAATGCTGAAAAGTTGAAGGCAGAAAGCATTGAGGTCCACATTCCCTTTAAGCTACAGTGTCCAATGACAGTTGCAGTAAATGAGCTTTGTGACACTTGGGAAGGGAGAAGGGAGAGGTTTAAGCCAACTCAATTTATAAACCATACCTATACCCCATGTTTAGGGAAATGTGAGCTGCATCAGGATGCTTGGCATGATAAAGGTTATGATGCAGTCCGGCAATATATATTGATTTCCAAAAAAGCATATTATCACTTAGGTGGTTGTCTCAGAAAAGAAAAAGACAAACTTTCTAGAAGGCCAACAGGGTCGCGGTTACTCTGAAAATTACTCTATGCACAAAGTAGAAATTGCAGGCCATGCAGGAACAGAGTCGGGCCTTCCAAGGAGACTGCCTGCTCTGAAGCTGCTGACTGGGAAGAGCTGCCATTGGTGGGGCTCGGGGGCTCCGGCGGGGGAGGCGGTTCCCAGAGTCACAAGAGATGTGCAGGCCATGAGATTTCCCCAGCACGTGGGCAGACTGTGAGATGCAGTGGAGCTCTCTGGGAAGTGGCGCCAACATGGAGGAACGAGCAAAGAATTAAGGCAGATGGAGCACAGGACTGGAAGTATATGCCTTTTTTGGTAATAGCTGCTTGTCCAGAGAGATGTGATGCAGATGGCTAGGTGATGTCTCATAATACCTGATATCCCGGATAACACAGTAGTCCACACCAAGTGTCCAAAGCCACCAGAGTTTCTCAGGAGGCAGATGCATATCTGACATCCAGAACAGAAGGAGCCTGAGGCCAAGAGAAAGAAAAAAAAGGATCAAAGAGTAGGTAAACAACACAAGCTGCTATTTCCAGTGTACTAAAAAGAGAAGGTAGCCAGCACACCTGCAGAGCAAATACCCAGTTGCTTTTTTTTTTTTTGAGACAGGTCTCACTATGTTGCCCAGGCTGGAGCGCAGTGGTGCCATCTCGGCTCACTGCAACCTCCACCTCCCAGGTCAAGCAATTCTTCTGCCTCAGCCTCCCAAGTAGCTGGAACTACAACCCGCCTCCACGCCCAGCTAATTTTTGTATTTTTAGTAGAGGCAGGGTTTCATCATGTTGGCCAGACTGGTCTCGAACTCCTGACCTCATGATCTGCCTGCCTCGGCCTCCCAAAGTGCTGGGATTATAGGTGTGAGTCACCACAACCAGCGCACCATGTTCTTAAGGGCAGGGCAAGTGTGTGGCCTCTCCAGCGAGACGTCTTGGGCTCAAACCCTGGCTCTCCCACTTTCTAGATTTGTGCAAACAAGTTATCAGTCTTTCTGAGCTTCAGTTTCTTCACGTGCAGAAGACACATAGTGATAATACCTACTTCACCAGGATTAAATTTAAGTGCCTGAAAATGGTCTGGCACAGTGGCTCATGCCTGTAATCCTAGCACTTTGGGAGGCTGAGGCAGGTGGATCATTTGAGGCCAGGAATTTGAGACCAGCCTTGCCAACAAGGTAAAATCTTGTCTCTACTGAAAAGAAATATTGGTGGGGTGAGGTGGCGCACACCTGTAGTCCCAGCCAGGCACGAGAATCATGGGCTCGAGAGGTGGAGGTTGCAGTGAGCTAAGATTGTACCATTGCACTCCACTTGCTCTGGGCAACAGAGCAAGACTCTGTCCCAAAAACACAAATGAACAAAAAACCCTGAAAAGGACATATGAGCACAGTGGCAGCCCTAACTCCTCTCACTGGCTTGAGGGCATACTGTGGCACCCAGCCCATTCAGTGCCCAGCCACTGGTTCCAGATGGGATACAGGAGCCCATACCATCTCAGGATCTTCTTTAAAAGCTATGAGGCAGGCCGGGCGCGGTGGCTCAAGCCTGTAATCCCAGCACTTTGGGAGGCCGAGACGGGCGGATCACGAGGTCAGGAGATCAAGACCATCCTAGCTAACACGGTGAAACCCCGTCTCTACTAAAAAATACAAAAAAACTAGCCGGGCGAGGTGGTGGGCGCCTGTAGTCCCAGCTACTCGGGAGGCTGAGGCAGGAGAATGGCGTAAAAACCCGGGAGGCGGAGCTTGCAATGAGCTGAGATCCGGCCACTGCACTCCAGCCTGGGCGACACAGCGAGACTCCGTCTCAAAAAAAAAAAAAAAAAAAAAGCTATGAGGCATTTCCTAACTCCCCTCTCCCATTTTTAAAAACTGACTCCCAGACCCAAACCTAAAGGTTGCATAACATCTTACCGCTCTCTGCCACGCTCATGGTATCTTATTGCTAGAGAAACAACTGGGCTATGTGTCCAAAATCTCAAAGTGATTGTTCCTTCAGTTAAAAATTATACAATTTACAAGAACTGTTCTTAGATAAATGAGGAGATTTCTCCTCACTGGTAACAGACTCAATCATTTTGTAATTGTAAGTGACATCTTTCTTTCCATCCCATGGGACCCTTTCTTCAATGTAAGGTTGGCTGTGACACCGTCCCCAACTCACCCTTGTCCACATCAAATAACTACCAATTTCAAAAGCTCAAAATACTTGGACTACCTACCCGCCTCTAAGACCTAAAGGAAATAATCTACAACTGACAGACCATTCTGTTACTAGAAATTCTAGGAATTATCATGTTCTCCCTTTGGCTTCTGTATAATACATAAAACCTGAGGCAGAGGGGACAGGCAGGACACCAGTAGACATCTTTCTCAGCTGCTGGACTCTACAGGACAAATAAAAAGGTGAAATCACACACACCCCAAGTTCTGCGGACTCACCAGACACACAAGTAAGCCAGCATTCTAACAAGTTCCCTTAGGCCCTTGGACACAGAGAAGCAGCTGGTCACTAGATTAATTTCCTTCTGCAAACTAACATATGGAGAACAGAAAACCAAGTGGTGGCAGGGCAGGGCTGGCACTACAAGAAGCAGAAAAAGAAAGAAACTCAAGAAATAGGCCGGGCGAGGTGGCTCACGCCTGTTATCCCAGCACTTTGGGAGGCAGAGGCTGGCGGATCACTTGAGATCAGGAGTTTGAAACCAGCCTGGTCAACATGGCGAAACCCCATCTCTACTAAAAATACAAAAATTAGCCAGGCGTGATGGTGCACACCCACAATCCCAGCTACTAGGGAGGCTGAAGGCTGAGGCAGGAGAAGCACTTGAACCTGGGAGACGGAGGTTGCAGTGAGCTGAGAGTGCGCGACTGCACTCCAGCCTGGGTGACAGAGGGAGACTCTGTCTCAAAAAGAAAAAACAAAAAAAAGAAAGAAAGAAAGAAAGAAAAAGAACACGAAAAGAAAGGTATGAGGGTGTACATTTTAAATGACTAGCGGAGTGAAAAGTTTGTAAAGGGATATAAGGACTACGCAGCACTAAACTCGAGTTAGTTCATTCTGTTTTGCAGAGAAGGCTGGGTAAACAGAGACATGGAAGATCAACCACCAGGAATAAACTATGATCTGCTGCTCGGAGAAGCCATAACTAGACTGTGAAAAGAAAGACGGTGCTTTGATGTGCAATCCACATGGTAAGTGGATCATTACGGAGGAACCTTCCGGGCTAATACAAGGTTAAGAAAAAAAAATACTTGAGTCACTTAAGTCAGTCAACCAATGATCCAAAAGTAAGAGAATGAAGAAAAAAGCATATACACAACAACTGACATCCTGTTGGTAGTGACTCTTGGTCCTAAATTTACTACGAGATTTGTTATGCCAGCCCAGCCAGCACTGGCTTTGATCAAATGTGAAGAGGGAATACAGCCAGAGCTCCCGACTGTTTCTGCTTCCAGTCATCCTGGGACTGAAGCCGGAAAACACACACAGGAAGCAAGCTTTCATTCCTGCAAATTCTAACGGTTCTTCCCCAGCAGTCTCCAGCTTTCAATGCTTCCTAAACTGAGTGCTAACAGGGGCAATTAGTGCTGGTACAGAAATTACTGAAAATAAAAACAAAGAAGAACAAAGAAAAACATCACTGCTGAAAGACAAAAACACCATTATTTTACTCACATGTCCTTTTCAGGCAGAGCTATTCATGGGGGTGATTCAGGGGTACTGACCTTGGCAATATTATAGATTTGGTACACTTATCACAAGATTTTCTGGCAAAAGGCTCTGAAGAATCTAATTCTAACAAAATTCATACGTTTCAATGGTGTTCTTACAGATGGCTGTGCCTTGAGGTCCTTTTTCCAGTCGGCAAAGAGGCCCTGCATGGAGTGGCGGCACCACACTCGCAGGGAATGCCAATACCTCCCAAGGTACTTCCATGCTCAGGTCAGGAGGGGCCTTCTGGGCTGTTTCTAGAGCCAGGCCCTCGGAGCAAAATGGTAGCACACACAATACAAAACAGGTAATCTCAAATCATTCCAGTATGGTTTGGAAAAGGCTTTGATGTGAAAGCTAAATTAATTCTTAAATTACCATGCCTGTGAATAAATTCAGATGTGAAGTGATTGGCAAGTAACTCCTTCTTATGCCCAGCCCCAGGCTCATCTGCTCTGGGAGTAGAGGCACAAACATAACAGCAAGGCAGGCCAGGCTAGATGGGGAAATGGCAGGTGCCCCTGACACGGGAAGCAGGAAGGTGAGAGATGAAACCAGGGCTATCATTCCAGAAATGAGCCACCATCACAGAAGTTCCAGCCAGCCACAGAATTGTCCCCATCAATATTTAAGCCAATCAGCTCCAAAGAGCATCAAAGGCTGAAAGATCTGGACAGCAGGGAGAGGTCTCAAGAGTTCCTCGTTGGCTTGCTGTGCAGACTCCCCATGAAGTCCACGAACCTCATGATGATGTGACCACACATTTCAGATGACTGAGCTTCACTGACATTCCTCACAGAACTTTCACCTTAGTGTTTCAGAATGGCTTTCACTGCGTTTTCACTTTTTGTTTGTGCCCCCACTCCCTTATCTTCGTCATTCAAGATTTTACTGTATTTAAGGAAAAACTGATAATGCAGAGTATTTTGTAGCTGGAGGAAACCAGGATGGAATTATGAATTTGCCCAGAAATTAAAATGTGAATAATATACAGGGACCAAGAACTGGAGTCAATGCATACACATTATCGCTATTTACAGGTAATAGTGAAGTTACTAACACAGCTGAAACCTAAAAATCTCTATAGCTGAAAAAATTCATCACTTTAGAAACTGCAATATCAAGCATGAACCTGACAGAGAAGTGACTGTTTTGTTTCAGATTTACCTCGTCTTCCTCTTCAGGCATCTTAATGGAATTATCTGGGGACTTCACAGGCTTCTGGTTACTAGGCCCATTGGTCTCTTCTTTACCATGTTCTGCCTCCCATTCTTGTAAAACTTCATCTATGTTGAAGCGGCGTCGATAATTTACAAAAAAGTTTTTCACTTGCACCACTGATTTGTTCCCGATCACATCTGAGATTGCCTGAAAATCTCGGCCGTATTTTCTGATGGCTAAGGATGTAAGAAAGCATTTTTTAAAATACAAGAGAAAAACATTTTTTTAAAACCACAAGTGACACTTACCTCTTTATCCAGATAAGAAAACATACAGGTTTTTAACAGCAGGCACTAATTTCATGTATTATAAGAGTAGGAAAAAGTACCAGTCAATTCTAGATACATTCTGGAGATGACCGACCCTGTCATTTTGACATCTGTCTTCCCATTACATGTCACGTAACAGTTGAAGTCACCCAGCAACTGCCCTAGGGTTGGGGACATTCGGCATTCATCTTTTGGTATCGCAGGTCCAGAGCGCCCCCAACCTTAAAATCCGAACACTCTGTCTGCTTCTTTTAGGGTTTTGTACTTCTTGACTAGTCAGAGCGCGATGAGTAACTAGTAAAATGAAATACTCACACCTTTAGAAAACTGAGGGTTGCAGGTTAAGTTTTCACAACTTGTGAGAAGTGGGAAAGGAAAAGAAAAAAGCCGAAAGGGATATAGTCATTTGGCTAAAATGATATCCACTAGAACATAACTGTCCCAGAATCTATTTCTACATAAATAGGTGCTGGGAATAGGGCGGGACATAACTTTTCCCTAAAATCTACCAATCCTCCTAAGCTCTTTTTGTTTCTCTTTTATTTAAAAAAAATTTTTTTAAAGTCGGGGTCTCACTCTGTTGTCCAAGCTGGAATGCAGTGGTGTGATCATGGATCAAAGCAGCCTTGAGCTCCTGGGCTCAAGGAAATGCGTCAACCTTCCAAAGTGTTGGGATTACAGGTGTGAGCCACCACACCCGGCCTCCTAAACTCTTTTGAAGAATTTCCCCCTACCTTGTACGGCGAGAAGCTGCTCTTCTGTAGTCCAACGTGCGTTACATTTCTGAATGACCTGGATATCCAAATGAGACATTTTAGCACATTACATTTAGAGATGAGTATGTTTAATGAAACTTTCATTTTCTCTTATCGGAATTTTAACATCAACTAGGTTCATAAAATTATGTCCATATACTCTTCCAAGAGATGTACATTGGGGATGTATCACATCGATATTAAATTCTTAAACATGTAAAACTTGAGCATGACTTCTGAGATGATGTTAACATAATCCTACCTCTGGAAGTCGGTAAGGTTCTATTCCACCATCAAGTTTTTCTTTGAGAGCACTGTTTGTCTGTTTAATATTCTGGATCTAGGAAGGAAAAAATGATTTTCATTTTAAAAATAAAAACTACATAAAGGTATGAAAACAGAACTTAAAAAACAAAGACCCAAGAGTAAAGACATTACTAACATCTATTGTAGCTGAATTCTGAGGTCCCTATGGTATCCTTTGAAGCATCTAACTACGTTTATTATTTGCTTGTTCGGAGCAACCGATAAGGTACAACCCAAGGAGGAGGGGATGGAGGGGCTCTCACGTACACAGTCTTGGATCCACAGCTTCCTAACAGGTGATATGTGAGCAGCAAAACACTTACCTGGAGTCTTATATAAAAGACAGAAGAAACCCCTGGGCTTCCTACCCCATAGGATTGAACTGAAATAACAGAGCAGCCACAGTAAAGACCAAAAAGGCCCAGTCTTTACAACAGAACTGCAGGTACAGCCTCACAGTGCCCCAAGATCACTGTGCTGTCCACCACTTCTCCACAGGGCGGAAGTGCACAAGCACAGGTTTAATGATGGGGGGGCAGGGAGAATACAATATCAGTGAGTTTTCTAGAAGTCTAACTTTGATTAACTGTCACTTCTTCATTTTCCTACAAATTATCTTTTTCCACATTACTGCCTTGGCTCAAGGTAATCTTTCCCTGCTCTTACGCAATCAAAAGAAAGACCACAAACAATACCAACCACCCAGGCTGTGGCTGCTCTTTAATTTTCCCATGGACCCTTGAATGAGACAGGTCACAGAAGTATGCTATTTTCTCTCTACTCCAAGTAGAAGGCATATCTGTGTCAAGCACCAGGGAACTCTGAACTCCAGCATTTTTCATCTTTGAAAACTCACACAAGCAACTAAGAAATCCAAGGGAAGAGGAGTTTGATTTTCTCAAGTAACATGTAAAAGACATTCATGAGTAGAAGATGCTACCCAAAAATTTAAAAATTTTTTTCACTTGTAATTAATCTAAATTTAAACAACCACACACGGGGCTGCTGGCTGCCATACTAGACAGTACAATCTTAGGATCTTTTATTTTATTTTATTTTTTTGAGACGGAGTCTTGCTCTGTCGCCCGGGCTGGAGTGCAGTGGCTGGATCTCAGCTCACTGCAAGCTCCGCCTCCCAGGTTTACACCATGCTCCTGCTTCAGCCTCCCGAGTAGCTGGGACTACAGGCGCCCGCCACCTCGCCCGGCTAGTTTTTTGTATTTTTTGTAGAGATGGGGTTTCACTGGGTTAGCCAGGATGGTCTCAATCTCCTGACCTCGTGATCCACCCGTCTCGGCCTCCCAAAGTGCTGGGATTACAGGCTGGAGCCACCGCGCCCGGCCCAATCTTAGGATCTTGCTCAGTGGTCTTTCAGTTACCAAAAACCCAGGAAAACTGCAAAGTACTCAGATTATGTTCACTGGATTCCTTTTTGGCTAAAAATGCAACATAGCAACTACTAGCAGGAAAAAGTCAAGGTTCAGAATGTTACATGTCATCTTTGCATTTCAGTGAAACAGACCACTCTTGTCATTCTAGCTGGTTGTTCATAGATAGTACAAAACTGGGTATATATTGCACTGTGATTAAGTAACGTTATGAAAGAAGCAGAGAGATTAAATGCAAAACATCTACAAATTCTGAACTAAAAGTTAGCTCTAAATGCTCAGTAGCCTATACCCCCTTCCTGATGCATTTTCCATATCAGAAATATCTAGGCTGCACATACACCATGGAATACTATGCAGCCATAAAAAAGGATGAATTCATGCCCTTTGTAGGGACATGGATGAAACTGGAAACCATCATTCTGAGCAAACTATCGCAAGGACAGAAAACCAAACACCACATGTTCTCACTCATAGGTGGGAACTGAACAATGAGAGCACTTGGACACAGGATGGGGAACATCACACACCTGGGCCTGTGGTGGGGTGGGGGGAGGGGGAAGGGATAGCATTAGGAGATATACCTAATGTAAATGATGAGTTAATGGGTGCAGCACACCAACACAGCACATGTATACATATGTAACAAACCTGCATGTTATGCACATGTACCCTAGAACTTAAATTAAAAAAAAAAAAAAAAAAAGAAAAATATCTAGGCTGTGTAGTCCCAGCTACTTGGAGGCTGAGGTGGGAAGATGGCTTGAGCCTGGGAGGCAGGGGTTGCAGTAAGCCAAGATCACACCACTGCACTTCAGCCTGGGTGACAGAGCCAGACACTGCCAAAAAAAAATTAGGCTAGTGCAGTGACTCACACCTATAATTACAGCACTTTGGGAGGCCAAGGCAGGATCATTTGAGCCCAGGAGTTCAGGACCAGCCTGCGTGACACAGCGAGACCCTGTCTCTACCAAAAAATTTAAAAAATTAGCCATGTGTGGTGGTGCTCACCTGTAGTCCTACCCACTTAGGGGGCTGAGGTGGGCAACTGCTTGAGCCCAGGCCTTCCATGACTGTAACACTACAGTCCCAGGATGGACAACAGACCAAGATCCTGTCTCCAAAAAAAAAACACAAAATATGCCCCCCAAACATCTAGTGTTTATTAAGCAGAAAAAAACCCAGAGATTAGCTGCCACCATCATGCTAACTGGAAAGTGAGTGGCAACGAAACAGGTAAGAAAAAGGATGCAAAGGTAATCACACTTAAAGAAAAAAACAAGATGAAAAATGGAAAAGCCATCCACTTGTCCTGGCGCCCTACCTAGACACCACCACCCTTCCACCACCTTCCTACCCAACCCTCAGTCATACAGAACCTTGTTTTCTACTTTACTGTGGGCATAGTGATTCCTCTTTTAATGTCAGATCATTTTATTTTCCACTCAGAGAAAGACCTAATGCAACCTGCACTGTTCACTGGCTAATTTATGAGACATGCCCAGCCCCCTTCTCGCTGGTAGAGGCTGATGATGTCCTGGGAAGGAGGAAGAGCAGTACACAAAGCACAGGCACACAGAATTTAGCTAAGGAGCTTCTGGTAAAGCTTTTGCTTTTCCTGCTAAAAGGGACAGACTGCTTACCTCCACCCCCACCTCCTCTTCATACTGCCCCGAATGCAGATGTGAGGGTTGCAAAATGGCTCCAGCAGCTTCCAACATGAGGCAACAAGCAAGATGAAAAGCCAACAGCTGAGAATGGCAGAGTAGAAGACCTGAGAAGTACCTGGGTCCCTGAGAGCATCACTGAACACATGAGTAACACCAGTAGCCACTGATGCTGGCACTTCTTGCTATTTGAGAAAAATAAACCCTAAATTGCTTAAGCTGTTGTTAGTCAAGTTTTCTGTTATTCTCAGAATGTATCCTTGATATACCAAACATGACAGCCTCCAGAACAAGTGGCCCCTGTGGACTGACTGCCCATTTTGAGTCTAGAAGCACATTTGGCAATGAACACACTGCTGCTCTGTGGCCCTAAAAGGCTGTGGAAAGGAAATCACCCAACTCCTCTCCGAGTGAGGCTCAGTCCTCCCTCTTCATAATTGTGAGCGACCTTCAAATTTTAAAAATTCTTGCTCTTGACCCTGCTCTGAAGACCAAAGAATCTTTTCTCTCATACTATGGAGTCAATAACACCTCCGTGGAAGAGAAGGGCCTCTTTTTCTTTCCTCAATGTATTAAACAGCAACCACCAGGAGCTCACTCAGCAGAGGGAAAAAGGAGCATCCTTGTAAAGGAAGATAACAATGTCAACAAGAGCTCACAGCCCCAGAGAGAGTTCTTCCAGCGCAAACAGAGCTTCAAATGCTCTCTCACACAGTAGCCCAGACACATTCTGTGAGATCAGGCAGGCCGGGATTAATCTCATTTGAAAAGAGGCCTACAAAGATTCAGTGATTCTCCTAAGATTAGAGTGCAGCTGTGCCAGCAGCCACGACAAGAAGCCGCTCCTCTGGGCACACAGAGTGTACGTGGGTCCCGGTCTGGGCTGCCTCCCTAAACCACAAGGAAGACGGCAGCACACCCTGCTCTTAGCGTCTATGAGACGACAGTTGGTCTCCTGTTTAACCCTCCAAGGGAACCATCAAAATAAATCAAAAGCAGCAAAAACCAAAAACAAACTGTCAGTCAACAAGTTGCTGATGGGTTTCTGGAACTGAATTCCAGAGAGAGAATGAAAGGACAGGAACCAACTACTAGGTTGAATTTTCGGTTTAAATGTACTATGCAATCGGATTAAAATAATAAGCTACATAGCAGGCAAAAATAATTACAAAAAGTGATTTAAAAAACAATATCCTTTACAAGAGCACAAAAAAGTACCAAATATCATGGAATGACTAACAACAGATGCATAAGTTCTTACACAGAAAACAACACAACATTGAGAGAAATTACAGGCCTACAGAAGCGGAGGGGTATATCATGTTCACTGATGAGGAAACTCAACAAAGACATTAATTCTCCATTTTTATCTATAGATGCAATACAATCCCAATCAAAATTCAAATTATTTTTCTGAAAATTGATAAAGTAATTCTAAATTTTATATGGAAATTAAAAGGCCAGGGATAACCAAGACAATCTTGGAGAACTTATATTACACTAGATAACTAAAATAAAGTACATAAAGTTAGGACAGTATGTATTGGTGAAGGATGGACAAACAGATCAAAGCAACAGAGAACCAGACCCATATGCATACAGACACTGGATGTAAAACAAAGGTACTGCTGCATTGCAAAGGAGAAAGGACAGTTTCTTCAATAAATACTTGACCAAATTGATACTCATATGAAAACAAAACAGTGACTATTAATCCTACATGTAACAACAAATACAGAAAAACATTTCTAGATCAAAATGTAAAAGGTAAAACAACACTTCTAAGATTAACATGGGAGAATATCGTCATGACCTTGAGAAAGGTGAACAGAACTCAAAAACACTAACCTGAAAAGACTAAGAAACTAAACTACCTTAAAATTAAAATTACTGTTCATCAAAAGATACCATTAAGAGTCACAGAATGGAAAACATATTTACAGTATTTACAATACGAGTTGTAGAAAATAACTCAGAGCCTAAATAACACCTATAAACCAGTAAGAAAATATGCAACCTGACAGAAAAAAACAGATGAGACTTGAGTACACATCACAAAAGAGGATATCCAAATGGCCAACAAATGGATGAAAAGGTGAGCAACCTCATTAGCCGGCAGGGAACTGCCAAATAAGAAGTACAATGAGGCATCACTATAACCCATTAGAAGGGCTAAAATGTAAGACTACCAAAATGTAGCAATGATGTAGAGCAGTGGTTCTCAAATGGGGACAATTGTGCCCCTGTGAGGTAATCTGGTGATGCCTAGGGATATTTCTGTTGTCACAACTGGTAGGGGGAGGGTGCTACTAGCATTTAGTGGGTCAAGACCAGGGATGCTGCTAAACATCTTACAGTGCACAGAACAGCCCAACATGGCGATAGTGCTACAGCTGGGAAACACTGATGTGCAACCAAAACACATCAAATAACAGGACCGCTTTGAAAAACTGTTTAGCTCTCAGGTTGAAAGAAAGCCAGACATAAAATAAACAGTATCATATGAGTTTGATTTCTGTAAAACTCAAAAATGGACAAAAACAACCTATGGTTTAAACATCAGAACAGGGTCAAGTGTGGTAGCTCACACCTGTAATCTCAGTACACTTTGGGAGGCTGAGGCAGGCAGATCACTTCAACTCAGGAGTTCAAGACCAGCCTGGGGAACATGGCAAAACCCCGTCTCTACCACAAATACAAAAAATTAGCCAGGTGTGATGGCAAGTGCCTGTACTCCCAACTACTTGGGAGATTGAGGTGGGAGGATCGCTTGAGCCCTGGAAGCAAAGGTTACAGTGAGCCAAGATTGCACCGCTGTACTCCAGCCTGGGCAACAGGACAAGACACTGTCTCAAAAACAAAATAAAATTAAAAAGAAAAAAAATCAGAATAGTGGTCACCTACAAGTAGTCAGGTAATAAAAGAGGGGTGAAGTTGCTGAGGGAATGCCGCATTCCATGGAATAGTGACCAGGAGGGAAAATGCATGGGCCTGGGGGTAACATTCCATTTTCTGATTCAGATGCAGGTTACGGGGGTGTGTTCATATTGCGAGAAATCATGGAGACACAGACACATATATAATATAAATATGATATTCATATGCTTTCCTATATACTTCGGAAATACTTTCAGATGACACTATATCCATCCACTTCAATTTATATGTTCATTAAAAAGAAAAAAAAAATCAATAGGCTAGTACTCAAGATCTGTCCAATTCCTTAGAAACAGAATGCTCCTTTGAGATTTATGGAAAGAGAACGTTCACATATATGAATAACAGAAACACCTCTAAAGTGCTGATTAACTCTTTTACATCCAAGACCCGGTTTAGGAGTACCTGTCGTTTGACTGAAACTAGTTCCATGTCTAGTTGTCTCAGCACCGTGGTAGCAGCAGTGGCATTGGCAGAAACAGCCTCCACATCTTCTTGAGAAAGAAACATTCCTTTAGGAGGTTTCCTTTTTGCTCTATTTTTAGCTTGTGTGCTATGTTTTTCTTTTTTGACCTGAGGAACTGTCTCAGTAGGGGGCACCTGCATGATATACATATGTGATAAATGAAACTTAAAAAAAAAAGTCAATAAACGTATTTATTTCCTTAGCATGGCACCAAAACAATCTAAGACAAATACCATGCCCTATCAGAACCAAATGAGATCTACAAATTCTAACAGGCAGTTCACAGACAGAATTTGGGCTATGGAGTTTTGACTAAACACAATGAAACTGTGTTCCATTCCTCCTTGTACAAATACTTCCTTACTCTATCATTTTAAGCCAATGAAAATAAGAATTCTTGGCTTCCTAAAAAAATATCTGTATTCTCTGCTAGTGAGTTTTGTGGCCACACACACATCTGTATTTATCTACATGAAATTATGGTTTTTTATACACCTTTTTGGAGAACACAATTTTTAGGGCAACTTATATGACTTACTCTAAAATAATATACCTTCTCATTTAAAAATGCATGACGGCTATTAACTTCTGTAAAACCAAAACCTTCAGAAATGAAACAGTAAAATCTTGTCAAGTTAAAGAATATAATTTACTGGTAACCATTTTAAGAACAAGAAGTTTTTATAATTGTTCATAATTTCATCTTGTTAGTGCATTAGCATTCACTGAAAAAGCTGAAAATATGACTTTCTGCTTCGTATTTTAAAAGACTGAGCTAAAGACACTGCAAAACTATCATGGTAGAGATTAATTTCTTCAACAAGCGGGTAATACAAAAATATTAGTAGGCAATAAACTGTGCTCTGTATGGGACCATGATGTTTAATAAAGATCACCAACTGACTATGTCTGTTCTAGTATCATTTTAACACTTAAAAGAAATCATGGGCCAGGCGGCTGGGCGCGGTGGCTCACACCTGTAATCCCAGCACTTTGGGAGGCCCAGGCGGGCGGATCACGAGGTCAGGAGATCGAGACCATCCTGTCTAACAGGGTGAAACCCCATCTCTACTAAAAAATACAAAAAAAACTAGCCGGGCGTGGTGGCGGCGCCTGTAGTCCCAGCTACTCGGGAGGCTGAGGCAGGAGAATGGCGTAAACCCGGGAGGCGGAGCTTGCAGTGAGATGAGATCGCATCACCGCACTCCAGGCTGGGTGACAGAGTGTGACTCCTCTCAAAAAAAGAAAAAAAACAAACAAAAAAAGAAACTATGATGGGCCAGGTGTGGTGGCTCACGGCTGTAATCTCAGCACTTTGGGAGGCCGAGGCAGGTGGATCACTTGAGGTCAGGAGTTCAAGACTAGCCTGGCCAAGATGGTGAAACCCCGTCTCTAGTAAAAATACAAAAATTAATCAGGTGTGGTGGCGGGCCCCTGTAATCCCAGCTACTTGGAAGGCTGAAGCAGAGAATTGCTTGAACCCAGGAGGCAGAGGTTGCAGTGAGCTGAGATCGGACCACTGCACTCCAGCCTGGGGGACAGAGCAAGACTCCATCCCCAAAAAAAGAAACTATGATTTAGCCATTTTCTTTCTGAATCAGAAATAACATTATATAAACAGGAATTATAAAAATTGTATGAAATCAAGTGTTTTCTCTCATTTAAAATGTGCCACTGAAAAACCTGGTAAATAGCAATACATCAAAACAAAGCTTAATAAAAACTCCAACTACAATATGATTTCCCAAAGAATCTAATTTAGCTAACCCTCAGGATCTTATCTGGGCATTCACATAAATTACGCAAAAAAAAATTGCCCATTTTCCATTTTGTTGTTTTTTACCCAAAAACGCCTCAACAATATATATATCTAGAACACGCTGACTCAACAATTCAACTTCCAGGAATTAGTTCTAATAAAAAAAAAAACCTACAAGCACAAATATTGAGTTATGTGAGAATCAATCAATCCAGCATTGTTTATAAAAGCAAAAAACAGGAAGAATAAACAACTGGGAAATCCACATAGAATAAGGTAACTCAATTATGAAACATTCATGTGACAGAATAATATATAGCTATGTATACAAATATATTTGACATAAAAAAAAATTCAAGGTCCAGCCTGACCAACATGGTGAAACCCCATCTCTACTAAAAAATCAAAAAAACTAGCAGGGTATGGTGGCATGTGCCTGTAATCCCAGCTACTCGGGACGCTGAGGCAGGAGAATCACTTGAACCTGGGAGGCAGGGGTTGCAGTGAGCCAAGATCATACTACTGCACTCCAGCCTGGGCAACAGAGTGAGACTGTGTCCCAAAAAAAAAAAAAAAAAAAAAATCAGGGGCTGGGCTGCGGATGGCTCATGCCTGTTATCCCAGCACTTTGGGAGGCCATAGTGGAAGGACTGCTTGAGCCCAGGAGCTGGCGGCTGCAGTGAGTCACGGTGCGACTGCATTCCAGCCTGGGTGACACAGAAGACCCTGTCTCAAAAAAGAAGAAAAAAAAAAAACCAAGGTAGAGTAAATTTTAAAAGGTTCGAAAAATTACAAAGCTCCCATTCTATTATTTCCAAAAAGTGACTAGATTCAGAATTAAGAATATACGTTTTACTGAGAGTTCTCAGGAAAGTCACCAAAAGGTTGACAGTGATTATGAATAATAATAATATAAATTGCTTTAATTTTCTTCTTTCAGTTGGCTGTATTTCCTACCTTGTCTATAAGAAGCATATATTACTGATGTCATTTTAAAGTTTAGATAAATTTAGACCCTTCTGTTTTTACAGGCTTAAAATAACTGGCTGGGCGCGGTGGCTCAAGCCTGTAATCCCAGCACTTTGGGAGGCCGAGACGGGCGGATCACGAGGTCAGGAGATGGAGACTATCCTGTCTAACAGGGTGAAACCCCATCTCTACTAAAAAATACAAAAAAAACTAGCCGGGCGTGGTGGCGGCGCCTGTAGTCCCAGCTACTCGGGAGGCTGAGGCAGGAGAATCGCGTGAAGCCGGGAGGCGGAGCTTGCAGTGAGCTGAGATCACACCACTGCACTCCAGCCTGGGCGACAGAGCGAGACTCTGTCTCAAAAAAAAATAATAAATAAATAAAAAAAATCAAATCAAATCAAATAACTCTTCTTATAATTTGGAGCAGAGACAGAGAACTCTCTGAGAAATTTTATTGAAACTATAGACTGTGTCTTCGGAAAAATACCTCTATGAACCTATGTAAAAGTTACATGCAATTGTAGGGGTTCGCGAGCCCCCTGAATCCAGAAACTACAATCTCTTGTATAATTATTTTTTTAAGTGATGAGATGAAACAGTCACCATGTGAGAGAGGATGGTCCTGGCTCACCCTGGTGTGACCAAATTATTGCTTCTGAGTAACAGGAGGGCTGTGCTGAGTCCCTGCCAGCTCCCTGCAGTCACCCCAGGCACGGCATGGGTGCCTAGGATGGGCAGATGCTGGGGCAGCTATAGTGTGAATGGAGACCCTAAGGCTGCCTGGAATTCACCAGGCCACTTGCTAGCCTACTGAGCTAATGGTTTATGAAGAAAGTCAGTAAGGACTGCTGTCCTAGGGAACATCATTACTCATTAGTGCTATTTTCTCTCCTTTAAGGCTTCCTTTATTCATATCTATTGGCAAACAAAATTATACAATCTACAAAGCGAAGACAGTATTGTTGAAAACACAGTCATGCTGCTTTCCGCATAGCATTTAATATATTAAGTAAAACAAGCAAGAGGAATGTTTTATTTATGAAACTAGTAATAAAACGTATTCGCCTAAACAATACTAGGGGGAAAAAATACCTCCTTTTTGCTTTCCTTGTTTTGATCAACCTCAATGTCAATGGGATTATTTCCATTTGTTTCTTCCAGTTCATCCTCACTGGAAGGCAAGAACAAGTTATTGAATGGTTATTTTGTACTAATTTTACCAAATACAAACAATAAATTGATTTAACTGAAAATTTTGTACTAATTTTACCAAATGTAAACAATAAATTGATTTAATATAAAATTAGTATGTTTTCAGGCTGCTGAGATAAAAACATCTTTGTAATTGAAACAGAATACCAACTCCATAGTTCTTTCAGTCTAAATGATGAAAAACTACTAAAATAGATTCCTAACTTCCCAATCCAGATCGAAAACATGATTGCTCTATATTTGTAAACTGAAAATATCAAATTGAAAATGCATTTACATGTTATTTTCCCATAATTATCTATTGAGGACTAGGATATGATTACTAAACAAAACTGAGAAATTATGGAGAATAAATTTCCACTGCACTGAAACAAACCTGACAACAAGTAAAAAATCCTTTTTCAAGTATCATCTTTCTACCCAAGGCCACACAAAGTCTGAGGCTTTTCTAGTGTCCTGGACAACCAATGTTTTAAAATTAAGTTTAATTTTAAAAAGAAAACTTACATTGGTATATACTTCAAATGCTTTTTGTAATATCCTGAATGTAGTATTTTATTTAATTTCAATTTCAATTTAATTTAATTCAGTATTTCATTAAATTTAAAACAAACAAACAAGAAAAGTCCCGGTATAGGTAGGAACGCAACTGTAAAACATGAGAAAACTAAGTCTACAGAAGTCAAGTAGCCTGCCCCAGTTTGCCCACCTCGCACTGCTCTGGAATCCATCCCAGGAGACCATGCCCACTATGCGCCACCTCCTCCCCATCCTCCACCAAGGTAGCAGGAAGCTCTAGCTGAGGAAAGAGTGTCCACAAGAAGAAAGAGCCTTCGGTAAGGGAATTTTGTCCCAGTTCCTGCCACGACTTTCACAGGCAAGTCCTGTTAGAAAGTCAACAATTTATCAGGTGCTGCTGCAGCATCTCCATCCCTGCATCCCAAAAGTGGTTAAGGTGCACATGGGAGGTGGAGGCAGAGCTGTTTTTGGCCCCATCAGGGCCAAGTAATGTAAAAAAAGAAAGAAAGAAAGAAAGCTTCCAGGGAGTAAGAATGGAAGTGTTGGCAGGTATTCTTATTTAATACTCAAGGATATCCAATCCCATTCTGTATTATTTAATTTTGATTGCTGTTTAGTAAACTGCACCTGCTTGTAGTAACAGACTTACTATACAGACAGTAAACTAGGGAAATGAAAAAGCTTCATTAAAAATTGATAAGAGCACTCGTCCCTAAATAGACCTACTAGTATGTAAGTCAGAGGCAAAAATATGCAGATGTATCATAGTCAATAATTTTATAGGCTCTTACAATTGAAAAGAGCTTTGGAGACGTTCCTAACATCGCTCTCAATTTATACTTGGGCCAAGAGGTTTGAATTCTCCAAAAGTGATACTCAACTTTCAATGTGTTCTCACATGTTACTTTTTCATTTGAAATGATAAAATTCCATCCTGAGATGGGACGCCAGGGACCGTGTATTTCATCCTCCTTTGATTTTTTTTTTATTATTGATAAAAATATGACAGGAAATGTGGAAAATAGGATTTTTAAAAACCTACCTATATCTCTCACCACTTTAACAAGAAAACCATTAGGTCTGCGTGCTGCCTTCTGGACTTCAAACATCTTCATTTTAGAGTTAAGGAAAACAAGAGGCTTGGGGAAGACGCATGTTGAACTCACCTGCCTGTATGTACAATTTTACTATGTTAAAAAATAAATGAAAGACCTTGAACATCCCAGTGTAGCCTGTGGCATGTAAGTGGAATCTTCAGAGCTGAGACTAGAACCCATTTCTGAGTGTGAGTTGGCCATTTCCACTTTTCTAAGCTACATACAAGACTGAAGAAGTGATGGTTAGGAAGTATTCTCCATACTAAGCTATCCTTAAAACTAACATCCTTATTAAGAAATTATAGGCCGGGCGCGGTGGCTGAAGCCTGTAATCCCAACACTTTGGGAGGCTGAGGTGGGTGGATCACGAGGTCAGGAGATTGAGACCATCCTGGCTAACATGGTGAAATCCCGTCTCCACTAAAAATACAAAAAAATTAGCCAGGCAAGGTGGTGGGTGCCTGTAGTCCCAGCTACTTGGGAGGCTGAAGCAGGAGAATGGCGTGAACCTGGGAGCTTGCAGAAAGGCGGAGCTTGCAGTGAGCCGAGATCGCGCCACTGCACTCCAGCCTGGGCGGACTTGTCTCAAAAAAAAAAAAAAAAAAAAAAAATCATAAAATGTTTCTCTTTCTCATTCACACACAAAAAAACAGATGGTCAAAAAAAGAAGAAGCAACTCTAAATTGTATTGTTGTATTTTTGTTTCCACATGACGAAGGTAAAAACACACCAAATGAATCTTGTAAAAATATGCCATATTAAACCTCAAACTACAAAATAAAAGATTCTTTTTTATTAAAAGGAGCCACCCCTTCTAAAGGGGCAGGAAAAAAAATGGGTCAAAGTTAACTGACTCAAAATGGAAGTTCACTGACTGCAGGGAAAGAGTGGTGAGAAAAAATCCCTGAATAATGTAACACACTCCAATATATCTCATGAACATGCAGTTCCACCGGGAAGGCACGGGGAGAAAACCAGTCATTCTGCCTTGCCTTTGTGTATCTGGGGCTCTCAGATAGTCCCCTAAGTGGTTAGACAACACCCCAGCCACGTGCTCACCTCTCCTCCCGCTCCCGTTTTTGTTTCCGGGCATGGCGATCCATCACACTAGTTTTAGTCCTTGTCTTCTTCCAAGAATAGTAAAATTTTACCAGACTTGCTATAGATTTATCAGGAAGCTAAACATAAAAAATGAGTTGGTTTATTTGAATATAAAAGTAATCTTGAAAAATCAAATGTTTAGGTACCTTTCATAAGGATCACTCTTCTATGTCTGAAGCCATAGCCCTTTTTTCTGATAAGAAAAAATTGATAAATGGATTCTTATCAATAGACATTTTAAATTACTGAAGTTTGTAAGTGAAACTCAGTCAATGAAAACCAGTTCAAGATGAATCAAGAGTTTTCACACACCCAATGTCCTTAAATAAAACTTAGTTTATTTTTTAAAAATTCATTTTAACACTTAATGCAAATGTCAGTAAGCTTTTAAGTAGGAGTCTACCAAAGAGCTTTCCAGAATGTAAATGATAAGTCAGCTGTTTCCAAGCAGACAGAGCCCCTTGAGGCACCACCTCAGATAACCATGAAAGATCTTTTGTGCTGGGCGTGGTGGCTCACACCTGTAATCCCAGCACTTTCGGAGGCTGAGGCGGGCAGATCATGAGGTCAGAAGACTGAGACCATTCTGGCTAATATGGTGAAACCCTGTCTCTACTAAAGATACAAAAAATTAGCCGGGCGTGGTGGCATGCGCCTGTAGTCCCAGTTACTCAGGAGGCTGAGGCACGAGAATCGCTTGAACTCGGGAGGTGGAGGCTGTAGTGAGCCAAGATCGCGCCACTGTACTCCAGCCTGGTGACAGAGCGAGACTCCGTCTTAAAAAAAAAAAAAAAAAAAGATCCTTCGTATGGGTCTAATCTTTTGGGAGTCCCAACAAGAGGGACTGGGGCGGGTGGGGAGGGTCCAATCACAGATGACAGGATGGGAAGTGCTAGAAGTGCTTTACTCCTATAACTGGAAAACTCCTATCCACAGAGCAGCACGTACTAAGCTGAATCTTCGAAAGGGGAACTTTATCAAAAATGGGAATATTTATGTTTGAGTATGATATCCCTATCTCAAGTATGCTGCAGAAGAGAGTAGCTAAGAGAAAAAACTAGTTAGAACTCAGTGGTCTCATCTACTTACCATTTGTTGGATTCTATGAAAAGTTTTCCCATGAAAACTAAAGGCTTGCTCAAATAAGACTTTATCTTCCACAGTCCACTCATCTGGGAAAGGGGTAAAGTTGGGCAAGTCAGCCAACGACTTTTCGATATTATGTTTATGCCAGAAGAGCATCCCAAGAGCCTACAAAAATCATATCAGTGAAATTTTACATAAAAAAACAATGAAAATGGAAATGAGACCAAAAAAAGAAAAGTGAGAACTACTTCATATTTAGACAAACTCACTCATAAACAGTGCTAAGTGGCAGACACTGTCAGATGCTCCTTTTGCTATTCTTTATAATTGTGGTAACATACACACAACATATTTTTTTTTTCAGGTGATGTAATTTTTATTATAGGTATGTCTTTTAATATAGGTGTAAGTATCAAGAAAGAGTGAAGCAATTTAAATAAATTATTTAATTTTCAAACAAAATACAGTATATTTTAATTGGAAATTACACATACAATAAAAATATTTTTCTTGGAAACGATAAGTATACAATTCAGGATGGTGATAACTTGTTAGGTACAGCAACAAGGGAAGGTGATACTTGTTAGGTATGGCAACATAGGTATCATCAGGGAAGTGGTCACAGAGAAACTATCTACAAACAATTATTCTAAAATAGTTAAAAATTAGCATGAACATAAAGAGATGAAATGAAAAATGAATACTGGCTTTCACTCCTTAGAAACTGGCTAGGCGCGGTGGCTCACACCTGTAATCCCAGCACTTTGGGAGGCCGAGGTAGGTGGATCACATGAGATGAGGAGTTCAAGACTAGCCTGGCCAACATGGTGAAACCCTCTCTCTACTAAAAATTCAAAAAAAAATTAGCTGGGCATAGTGGCGCATGCCTGTAGTCCCACCAATTCAGAAGGCTGAGGTAGGAGAATCACTTGAACCTGGGAGGCAGAGGTTGTTCCAGCTTGGGTGACAGAGACTCGTCAAGGGAGGGAGGGAGGATTTATTACTGTTACTCCATTTTTCTAATAGAAACTTGATTTCGGCCAGGCGCGGTGGCTCACACCTGTAATCCCAGCACTTTGGGAGGCTGAGGTAGGTGGATCACATGAAGTCAGGAGTTTGAGAGCAGACTGGTCAACATGACGAAAACCTCTACAAAAGACTCTACTAAAAATACAAAAAATTAACTGAGTGTGGTAGCGCATGCCTGTAATCCTAGCTATTCAGGAGGCTGAGGCAGGAGAATCACTTGAACCAGGGAGGCATAGGTTACAGTGAGCCGAGATCGCGCCACTGCACTCCAGCCTGGGCAACAGAGCGAGATTCCGTCTCAAAAAAAAAAGAAAAAAAAAACCCATAAATTTTATCCACCTAACCATCCAAGTGAACAGCTCAGTAGTATTGAATACATTCATAATGTTGTACAATCATCCCAATATCCATCTCCAGAGCTCTTTTCAACTTGTAATAGGGAAACTCTGTACCCATTAAACAACAGTTCCTATTCCCTCTCCCTATTCCTCCCAATCCCCAGCCCCTGACAACTATCATTTGACTTTCTGTCTTTAAGACTACTATTATTATTGATCGGGTGTGGTTGCTCATGCCAGTAATCCCAGCACTTTGGGAGGCTGAGGTGGACAAATCACCTGAGGTCAGGAGTTCAAGATCAGCCTGGCCAACATAGCGAAACCCCATCTCTACTAAAAACACAAAAATTAGCCAAGTGTGGTGGCTTGCGCTTATAATCCCAGCTACTCGGGAGGCTGAGGCAAGAGAATCACTTGAACCTGGGAGGTGGAGGTTGCAGTGGTGAGTCAAGATCATGCCATTGCACTCCAGCCCGGGTGACAAGAGCGAAACTCTGTCTCAAAAAAAATTGTTTTAATTTATTATTACTATTATTATTATTATTATTTGAGGCAGAGTCTGGCTCCGTCACGCAGGCCAGAGTGCAGTGGTACTCACTGCAACCTCCACCTCCCAGGGCCAGGTGATCATCCTTGATTGCCTCAGCCTCCCAAGTAGCTGGGATTACAGGCACATGCCACCACACCTGGCTAATTTCTTTTTTTTTTTCTTTTTTTCTTTTTTTTTTTTTGGAGATGGAGTCTCGCATCTGTTGCTTCAGGGCTGGAGTGCAGGTGCGCGATTCCGGCTTACTGCAAGCTCCGCCCGGGTTCACGCCATTCTCCTGCCTAAGCCTCCTGAGTGGCTGGGACTACAGGCGCCTGCCGCCACGTCTGGCTAACTTTTTTTAATTTTTAGTAGAGAGCAGGGGTTTCACCATGTTGGCCAGGATGGTCTTGATCTCCTGACCTCGCGATCCGCCCGCCTCGGCCTCCCAAAGCGCTGGGGATTACAGGCGTGAGATCATCATTCCCGCCAAATTTCTTGTACTTTTTGTAGAGACAGGATTTTGCCATGTTGCCAGGCTGGTCTTGAACTCCTGGGCTCAACTGATCTACTCACTTTTGGCCAGAAGTAATTGGTGGATCATATGGTAATCTTATTTTTATTTTTAAGGAGCATGCCATCCTGTTTTCCCCACCGGGTGTACATTTTACATTCTCACCAACAGTGAATGTCCTTGTCTCTTATAACCTTTTTTAATTTAAAGTCTATTTTGACTTGATATTATTTATAATCACTCCTGCTTCTTTTGGTTACTACTTGCATGGGATACATTTTCCACCCTTTCACTTTAAAACTGTGTCTTCGGAGCTAATGTAAACCTCTTGTATATAGGTGGGATTCTGTACTTTTTACCCATTCTGACAATCTCTGTCCTTTGGAAAGTTTAATCCATTTATATTTAAAGTAATCACTGATAAGGAGGACTTTTGTCATTTGGCTATTTGTTTCGTATACTCCTTAAAGCTTTTTATGTCCTTCATTTCCTGAATTACTGTCTTTTTAGGTTTTTTGGTTTTTTTTTTGTTTTTTTTTAAAGGACAGGGTTTCACTCTCATTGCTCAAGGCTGGAGGAGCAATGGCATGATCTTGGCTCACTGCAACCTTCTCCCTTCCAGGCTTAAGCAATTCTCGCTGATTCAGGCCTCCTGGGCAGCTGGGATACAGGTGCATGCCACATGTGCAGCCTAATTTTTTTTTGTGAGACAGGGTTTCGCCATGTTGCCTAGGTTGGTCTCCAACTCCTGAGCTCAGTGTGATCTGCCCGAGAAGTGCTGGGATTATAGGTGTGAGCCACCACGTCCAGTCTCATTTTTATGTTTTGTTGATTATTTACAGTGAAAGATTTAAATTTCCTTTCCATTTGTTTGTGTATATATCTATCTACTTTTCTGAGGCTGGGCATTGTCGCTCACCACCTATAACCTCAGCACTCTGGGATGGCGGGGCGAGTAGATATCCACTTGAGCTTCGAGAAGTTTTTTTTTTTTTTTTGGACCCAGCCACCTGGGAACGGTAGGCAAGACCGCATGAATCTACAAAAACAAACAAACAACAAGTTAGCCAGGCATGGTGGTGCACGCCTGTAATTGCAGCTACTAGAGGGGCTGAGGCAGGAGGACTGCTTGACTCAGCCCAGGGGTTTGAGGCTGCAGTGAGTTATGATCACACCACTGCACTCCAGCATGGGTAACAGAGCAAGACCTTGTCTCAAAACAAAACAAACAAAAAGACACAAGTTTTTATTTATTTTAAATTGCACATTAGGCCTTTATTACACTGATCTAGAAAGAAAGATTTAGTACAGTTATGCTCAAAATGAATACTGGGTCCACATGGCAGAGCCAAGCAATTAGAACACGATTTAGAAATCAGTCAGTGAAAGACGTATTTGGACATGATCAAGAGGCATTTCACTGCCACAAAACAAGGTAGGGGAGGGATTCGAAAACCCATAGCAGGATGCAATCCTACCCCTTAGAGGTCAAGAAGTTTATCCCATGTTGGTGTGAGGAATGGCTTCTTTTCCTTTTTTTATTTTTATTTTTTTGTTGTTGTTGATACAGAGTTGTGATCTAGAGTGCAATGACATGATCTTGGCTCACTGCAACCTCTGCCTCCCAGGCTCAAGCGATCTTCCCACCTCAGCTTCCAGAGTAGCTGAGACTACAGGCACCCACTACCACGTTTAGGTGATTTTTAAATTTTTTATAGAGATGAGGTGTCACTATATTGCCCACGCTGGTTTCAACCTCCTGGGCTCAACTAACCCTCCCACCTCATCCTCCCAAGTAGCTAGGACCACAGACACATACCACCATGTCTGGCCGATTTTAATTTTTTCTAGAGACAGGATTTTGCCATGTTGTCTAGGATGGAATGGCTTATTTTCTGATGATCACATGTGGGACTACTTCAACTGCTACCAAAAATTCCAGAAGGGGGCTGGGCGCGGTGGCTCACGCCTGTAATCCCAGCACTTTGGGAGGCCGATGTGGGTGGATCATGAGGTCAGGAGTTCGAGACCAGCCTGACCAACATGGTGAAACCCCGTCTCTACTAAAAATACAAAAATTAGCCAG